AAACTCCAGTAATTCACAAATAATTAAAAAAAAATTCAGGAAGATTCCAGTAATCCATCTCAATTGAATTATTTTCAAATCAGTTCCAATATTTCCAAATTAATTCCTGTAATTCTAACCAAATTTCCGTAATTCGAACTTAATTTTCGTTATTCCAAAATAATTCCAATATGTAATAATAAAAATTGCAGTAATTCTAGAAAAACTCTAGTAATTCGCAAATAATTCTATCACATAAATATAATTTTAATAAGTAATTCCACCTTAAGTTAGCAACACGTCTGGATTTGACAGTTCAAAGTTGCCAACTTCAGTCATTTGGCAAGTTGCCAACCTAACTTGAAAACACGACCACTTTAATGAGTTTTTAATTAAATTTGTAGTTTCGAGACTGAGAACCAGATCACCCAGCAGGAAATCGGTGAAGTGAAAAATCCAGGAACCGACCAGGAATTTAACGTAATCCAGGGCTCTTACTCCTACACCGGCCCTGATGGAGTGATTTACACCGTGAATTACATTGCGGATGAGAATGGGTTTAGAGCTTCGGGGGATCACATACCGACTGCGGCGCCAGTTCCTGCTGAAATTGCTGAAGCCGTGCAGCAAAATGCTGCTGAAGAAGCGCAAGGACACGTTGATGACGGCCAATACAGACCTGAACCGGAACAAGAGCCACCACGGGGCTTCAAAGCACAAAATAATTACAAGCGTTATTAAGTTTTAAGTTAGATAGATATTTATTGACACAATAAAGTCTCCAAAGATGTACACGAAACAGTTTTTTTTTTTGTTGCACAAATTGGATAAAAATCGTTGTATATCTGCGAGCATCGCCTCATCGTATTATTATTATCTCCCGAAATCTGCGATTATGGAGCGTGAAAGCGAGAGGATTATATTCATCACCGCCATTTAGTTTGATAATTCTAAAAGTGAATAGCTGAATAAAGTTACTAAGTATATGAATTAACAAATTAATTCCGCCAAAGTTTGTTAATATTCAAATTTTATGCTTTTATAGCTGTGCCGAATAATAACTGCCAAAACCTCACCCTTATATTACAAAGCTAGCCCTGTGGAAATCTGTTTCACTTCAAAATGCACCAGCTGAACCGAATGTGGATTAAACTTTAATATAAATAGCCGATTGTGAGAACGGAAATTTGTCCAATTATTTGAACACCCTGTGTAACGAAAGCAAATGAAAATCATAGCAAGTGATAAAGCAAAGTCTTTTTTAGCAAGGTGCAAAATTTCACTTTTCTGATGTTAATAACAACGTTGCTAAACAAATTTAAGTCAAACCATAAATTCTCCAAATTTTACAGTAAAATACCACCAATTTGGCAACACCGCAATCAAAATTTAAAAAAAGTGACAAGAAATATAGGAATTAATTTGAAAATAATGCAATTACGATGAATTACTGGAATCTTCCTGACTTTTTTTTTTAGAATCACTGAAATTATTTGTGAATTACTGGATTTTTTTTGAAATCAAGTTGGAATTACATGAATTAGTTTGAAACTATAAGAATGAATCTAAAAGCAATGCAATTACGATAAATTGTTAGAATTTCATTGGATTTTTTTTGAGAATTACTGAAATTATTTGTGAATTATTAGATTTTTATTCTGATGGGCACCTTGTATAACAAAAACAAATAAAATAACAGGAAATGATAGACCAAAGCCTTCTTTGCCGATGTACAAAATTTTACTTTTTTGATGTTAATAACAACGTTGCTAAAAGGATATTAGTCAAACCATAAATTTTCCAAATTTTTAAATAAAATATCAACAATTTGGCAACACCGCAATCAAAATTTGGAATCAAAAAATGACACTTATGTTACGTATATTAAAATTAATATTATAATACAACAAAATAAAAAATACAGGATCTTACAGTTTATGATTTAAAAAATTGCACAATTTGGTCACTTAAGTCGAAATTGGAAGAATTTGGAATTACTTATTAAAAGTATCTTGATAATGTTTGGACGTAATAGAATTATTTGTGGATTACTAGAGTTTTTCTAAAATTACTCCAATTGTTTAGAATTATCAGAGAGAATTTTCTTTGAAAATATTACGTTGATTTTTTTTATTACTACATATTGGAATTATTTTGGAATTACGAAAATTAAGTTTGAATTACGGAAAGTTAGAATTACAGGAATTAATTTTGAAATATAGGAATTAATTTGAAAATAATGCAATTACGATAAATTACTAGAATCTTCCTGAATTTTTTTTTGGAATCACTGACATTATTTGTGAATTACTGGAATTTTATTCTGATGAGCACCTTGAATAACAAAAACAAATAAAATAACAGCAAATGATAGATCAAAGTCTTCTTCGCCGATGTACAAAATTTTACTTTTCTGGTATTAATAACAACGTTGCTAAAAGAATTTAAGTCAAACCATAAATTTTCCAAATTTTCCAATAAAATATCAACAATTTGGCTACACCGCAATCAAAATTTAGAAACAAAAAGTGACACTTATGTTACGTATATTAAAATTAATATTAGAATACAACAAAATAAAAAATACGGGATGTTACAGTTTATGATTTAAAAAATTGCACAATGTCGAAATTGGAAGAATTTGGAATTACTTATTAAAAGTATCTTTATAATATTTAGACGTAATAGAATTATTTGTGAATTACTAGAGATTTTCTAGAATTACTGCAATTTTTTAGAATTATCAGAAAGAATTTTCTTTGAAAATRTTACGTTGAATTTTTTATTACTACATAATGGAATTATTTTGGAATTAAGAAAATTAAGTTTGAATTAAGGAAATTTAGTTAGAATTACAGGAATTAATTTGGAAATATAGAAATTGATTTGAAAATAATGCAATTACGATGGATTACTGGAATCTCCCTGAATTTTTTTTGAGAATTACTGAAATTATTTGTAAATTACTGGAATTTTATTCTGATGGCCACCCTGTAGGTATAACAAAAGCAAATAAAATTATAGCAAATGATAGCTCAAAGCCTTCTTTACCGATGTGACAAATTTTACTTTTCTGATGTTAATAATAACGTTGCTAGAAAAATTTAAGTCAAGTCATAAATTTACTAATAAAATATCAACAATTTGACAATAATTACGGTCCTGAAATAAGAGAACCCCTTACACATTTCAAAATAATTTTCGTCTATTCAAAATTGACAATAATAACAATAACAAAAGGAAACAAAATTATAGTCATTTTTATAGTAATTTTTGACGCCACACCAATAAATGACTCACTCTGTATATGCCAGTTTTTTTTTTAATTGTAGTAAAGTAAACTGAAATAATAACGAAAAAAAAATATACAAAAATAAAAAAATTATACAATTATAATTCATACAAGATTTTTTCTGCATCTAAAAAATATTAGTGTGAGGATCATTGACTGTCAATTTATTGAAAAAATTGTTAGAGGAATAAAACCTCTCCTGCTGCGTTGTCCAGATCCCAACAAAGGTGAAGCCACCTATAAATTTCTGTGGATTTGAGTGCCATTAAACTTGGCCAAACAAAATTAATTTTCGCTTCGGAAGTGCAAATCATATCGGAAAAGCGCTAACTCCAACTAAATCGCACCCACAAATGTGAAATAATGATGAAAAGGGTGAAGCACACGTGCGGAGTCCTCAATTTCATAATTCAAAGCGTGCCAACACAGTTCTCAATTTTTTAAACAATAGCTTGCGGTTAGGTTGCATGTCGTAATACTAAATTAGTTTTTTTTTCACTTTTGGGTTATTTAAACCGTCGTTAGCGTGAACACATATCAAAAAAATCTGACCTTAGAAGAAAATTGATCACAGACTGCACATTCATCCATCATTCTTATGTTTTAACCTTTTTTGTTGAATTTGCTACAAAATTTCTCGATACTTACATTAATAAACAATTTGTGAGAAATTGCAAGCTCATTTCTGAAATATTTAAGGAGATTACAACAATTTTTCAAGCTTTGTTTATAAATCAATAGCTGTCGACTTGCAATTCGCCCATTGAAACATTTTTATGATAACGTCTTTTTTATTATTTATATTTTGTGGCAGAAGCTTTGTGTTGGAAGACAATTTGAGTTTTCTACGATGTGTGACTGATTTAAAGTTTTATCTCCACATCCTCTGCAGTTTTCAGTAAGTGTCGTTTTACTGAAAAATGGGGGAAAAACCGGCGTGAAAGTTTAATGGATCCTGCGTTGATTTCTCCTCCGAAATAAAAATTCCGCACAAATCACAGTGACGATTAAGCATCTCGTTGAAACGTATTTACACAAAAGCCAATTATAACAAAACAAACACTTTTCAGCTGTCGTATGCAAGTTTCCAAATCAATTAATTGTCAGTTTTAAAATCCCAATAGACTCTTCAGTCGTGTTATTTCTTCGATTGTTTCAGGAATACTAGTCTGGATAAAAGCATTTTTCGGTTCACGACAAGCTCCCAAGGCGTGAACTGAAAGTAGACTGAAAACTTCGCGAAGATGAAACGTTTAATTCAAGTTTTTTGCAACATAAGTCCCAAATGGAACACCTTTATAAAACTTTTGTTTAATTTTCAGCTTTCAGACTTTCAGACCAACATTTTGGCTAAGGTTATAGAAAAAAAGGACTTGCTAATTAATAATAATACTAAGATTTAAAAAATTACAAATTTTAGAATCACCTTAGAAATAAGTCAAGGCTAATGTTATTAATAAGTTTAGTTAAAAATATGCAAAAAATAAAATTTTATTGAAAATTATGTTATTTTTTTTCCTATGTTATTTTTATTAAAAACTAACTAACCTATAACATATTCTGCAAGCTAGATTAAGTCTAAAGTACGTTATTTTAGATTATTTCAATAAATTAGAATTGATCCATACAACATTTTTTACATTTCTAGAGGTCTTAAGGACTCAAATAAATGCAGAAAACGACATTGGGTCTAGTTTCAAAAATTTTGAATTTTTTGAGTTTTTGAAGGTGAGCGGTAGTAAAATCGTAAAAATAGTCAATTTACTAAAAATCGTAAAAACGGTTGAAATATGGTTTTCTAGACGTAAAATTACTTGCTGAACACGATGCAACTAGTTAAAATACTCTACGATGCATAGTTTTTGAGATATKGAGTAATAAAGTTAAGAATAAAGCTAGAAACATCGGATTTTGACCAAAAAGTCAAAATTTTTTTATTCTTATGCAAAACTAGGTTTATACGTAAAATTAACCGTAAAACACGCCTGTACAAACCGTTTTGACCTAGGACTCATAGTTTTTGAGATATTAATTTTTTTTAATAAAAGTAAAAATGGCTCTGTACCCGGAACCATAACCCGGAGCGACTTCCGGTTTGCGCCATTAGATAGATAATTTCAAGCTAATTGTAATGGTTTTTAGCTTTGTGTTCTAAGTCTTATAGTTTCGTAGAAAAACGCGTTTAAAGTTTCCCAATTTTGACAATTTTGAATTTTTGAACGGCGATTACGGCCAAACTATTAGACTTAGAGCAAAAAGTTCAACTCCATCGTAATTAGCGTAAGAAAATCTATCGACTGAGGCCAAAGCCAAGTCGATATCTCGCAAAAAAAATTTGAATTTTTAAACGCCGATTACGGCGAAACTAAAGGAGATAGCCCAATGTGGTTGGTAAATTCGTAATTAGCGCGTCAAAATCTATCGGATAAGATAGGTTTAAATTGAATCTGAGACATGTTTAAAAACACTTGTTTTTAAGGGGGTGTTGACAAATTTTTCCTTTTTTTTATTTTATAAAAAAACTATGTAAAATGTTCCGGGGAATCGATTGGCGTCAAAAAAACTGCAAAATTCCTAACAGTTTTAAAGTTATAGTCGGAAATATATTTTCCATACTTTTGATTTTATCACAAATTTTCTCGATAACTATTTATCGTAGAACACTGATCTTTTTTTTATATGATAGAAAATTGAATTTTCTTTCCAACGATACCAAATATAAGAGGTTATCTCCAATAAGTCCGGAGTTATTGCCATTAGACCGTTCCGGGTGGCAAAAATCGACAAAAATCCAAAAAAATTTCAACACTAAAATTGATCCATTTACCGTTTTTTACATTTCTAGAGGTCTTAAAGACTCAAATAAGTGCATAAAATGTTATTGGGTCAAGTTTCAAAATTTTGGAATTTTTTGAATTTTTCAAGGGGAACGGTAGTAAAATCGTAAAAATAGTCAATTTACCTTAAGTCGTAAAAACGCTCGAAATATGGTTTTCTAGACGTAAAATTCCCCGCTGAACACGATGCAACAAGTTAAAATACTCTACGATGCATAGTTTTTGAGATATTGAGTAATAAAGTTAAGAATAAGGCTAAAAGCATAAGCACTAT